ATTCGAGAAGTCCGTGGTTCGCGTCCCGGGTAAGGCATTGCTCATTTTTCATGTCTTTTGCTGTGAAAAAAAAATGTAATGTCTCTACAAACCTTCCATTCATCAGAATAGTAATAAAGTCATGAAGCATAGGGGGTAGGGGGGAAAAGGAATTTTAAAGAAAAGATTATTTTTACAAAATGACTCAAAATTTCTTGAGACAGTATAAGTAGTTATATAACTCAAATAATTAAATATTTGACCTCTTAATTTTACCAGTATTTCTGTATAGAAATAAAACATAATTAAATATCTTTAATGAGTATCATAGATATTGGAGCACATCGAGTGAGCTTCACAATATTTTCAAAAGCAACCACTTTGACAAATGAACAGAACTGTCGGGAATCGCTTATGAATGTCACTTACACGTTTCATAATGCAAAGAATGTTATAAAAATAACAGTTATGCTATATCAACAACTTACCGATCTTTCCAAAGTGCTTAAAAATAGAGCTGTTCCAAAAATTGTATTCAGTTCATTCACGGTGTTTAATCAAAAGCTCGTCGTCGATTTTTGAACTACTTATCGATAAACTATTGAATTCAAATTTTGTACACACACCATTTACGTTAATACGGATGATAATAATTCGATTTAGAGTTTTTAAAATTTAATGTCGAAGAAATTTTTTGCGCATATTTCCATTTAAGAATAAACTAAAAATCTCAAAATTTTTAAGTTTGCATCATTTTACAGAGCGTAAAATAGCTTTTGAAATAAAATTTGCAGGAAATTCGTAACCTAATTTCTGATTTTGGGGCAAATTTTGTTTTTAAATTTATATATCTTTTCGATTTATTTGAGGTAAAAGGATACTTGGAAGTAAAAGACTGAACCAAAAATAATAATAATAATAATTTATCGCATAGATTAATGGATAATAAGAGATTACTTAATAGCTTCTTTGCTAAATTCCTGTACAGTTTTATAAGAAGAATCATAGGTTCTTAAATTACGAAATCAAATAATTGAATCGCATTGTCAGATGTATAATATTTATAAATTTATCAAGACACCCTCACGTTTTTATTATTCGTGATATAAATTTGTAAAAGAATTTTTTAAAGAGAATTATTTAATCTCGTATTCCCATTAAATTACACGATACATTATTTTTAAAACAAAGGGCGTTAGCCGAAAAGGTCTATTAACTTCATTTTTTCATTTTCCGTTGAAACCTATGTCAGTTCACTTTTCAAACTGTTGCTACCACATATTACAGCCCTGTATTATATTTAAAGAAATTAAATAATGGTTTTGGTTTATTAGATTACGGCAAAGCACTCGAGGGCTATCTGCCTTGAAATTAAATAATGAATAATCTGCATAAATACATGTATGTTTCTCGCATTGTGATAAAACAACGGTACCTAGACCCATCCAATTTTGAATAACGTACATTTCCACCCGAATATGGGCATCTCGAAGCCGAGATTTGGAATTTGTTTTATTATATGTTTCCTATTTCTTAAAACTTCAATGATTTTTTTATTAAAAAACTCAACAATTTTAAAGCGAGCAAAGGCAACCCTGTATGAAAATAATAATATAAAAAATTATCTTCAACGGGCGAGACTGTGCATTGGAAATTCTAAAGATATGCTCATTTAAAATTTATTTTGCGGTATTGCTGTTTAACCGAAGTTTTATGGTTTAAGTGCGAAGAACATGATATTTAAAAATAAAGGTACCCACAAACCGTTAAAAAACGCCCTTTGGGCGTAATGTAAAATCTGAAAGATTTGCATTCTCAGATTTTTATGTTTGCATTTATTACTTTTATTTTTCTCGTTTTAATTCATTAATGCTCTTATAGGTAAACGTTCATTTTGTAAAAAATTCTATTTTTTATTCAATAACTGCTCTAAAACGGAAATTCTTAAATCCCTTTATATATGCATCCACTTTGTAACTGCTAATAAATTTGTTTCTTTAGAGTCAGTGTAAGGCCTTTATCCCAAAACATCAAGGAGATTTCTCCCCACGCTAATGACAGCCATTACCCATTGTCGTCAGGATTGCATGGACCCTTGTCCCCTTAGGCATTGGGGGTTGGAAGACATACAAAAATACGGGCTAGTCCTTTTTGGCGTGTTTTTTCGATAATACAAAAACACGGGACTGTCCGTTTTCGAGGGTACATTTAAACTAACAATAATCCGTAACGAACCGTTAAGAGACTTGCATAAAAGAACGAGAAAATCCGGGTGAAACCGTTAATGGGTTAATTGGTTTTAACCAGTTAAATTAGCAGATGAAAATTCGTATTTGTTTTTAATAATTCAAAACTGTTAGATTCTTTATCTTATCGACTAAAAATTAAACAAATGTTGCTGATCACATTAATGAGAGAAAATGTCTGTACCCTGTTTGCATGTACGCTGGTAAGCTTAAGTTTGAGGTAAGCATATACATCGAGGGTACTTCGATCCTTTGTTTTCATACGTATTTGAGTTTGTGATAGAAGCTTATTTACTTCGATTAACTATAAATATTCTATTCTTATTTACTACTATTAACTATTCCTATATTACTTATTTACTACTACTATAATTCCTTCATTAATAATAATTAGGTAGTATTGCAATAGTTAACTTTCATTTTCTACTATTAATTGTTATTAACTTCTACTCTTATTTACAATGTATTTACTTCGATCAAATATTACCGTTATCCTTGTTTATTATTATTAACTATTCTTGTATTACTTACTTACTACTAAATTACTACTCTATTTAATAATATTTAACTATTATTTAATACACTTATTTATTACTTATTTAAGCTGATTAACTATTATTTTCTATTCCTATTTACTACTATTAATTATTCCTATATTATTTATTTATTATTACTATTATTACTCCTTTAAATAATAATTAACTATTATTACAATAGTTAACTTTTCTTTACTACTATTAATTGTTATTTACTACTTATTTACTTCAATTAAACTATTACTAGTTTATTCCTATTTACCACTATTAACTATTCCTGTATTACTCACTTACTACTGCTTTTACTATTCAATTAAATAATAGTTAATTATTATTTACTACTATTAACTGTTGTTTACTATTACTGTAATTTATTACTCATTTACTTCGATTAACTGCTAATATTCTATTCTTATTTACTACTATTAATTATTACTATATTAGTTATTTACTATTACTACCACTATTCCATTTAATAATAGTTAACTATTATTTATTAATGTTAACTTTTATTTTGTACTATTAACTATTCTTAGATTATTTAAATATACATCCTGATTTCAATTTCGTTTTTGTTTGAGATAGTCATGAAAACCTCTTCTGACACAGATACGTGGAAGCAAACTGATTTCTAATATTTAAAACACAGTTAGCCTTTTGTAACATGATTTCTAGAAAATACAGTGTCGTGTGAAACTGGGTTATACGAGACTAACAATCATAACAAGATAGAGGGATGTGTTCCTAAAAACTAAAAAAAAACATTTTAATGATTCTCACCACTGCATCATTAAAATGTAGTCTTTTTGCAACATTCCATGAATTTTCTCCTTTCAACAAAAGATTCAAAATTTGTATTTACATCTAAATAATAATAATAATAAATTTTCTTTCAGAGTTTTTTTCTTATTTTCAGACAGGTTAGGGACTGAAATATAATTTCTCGACAATTATCGCTTGAAACACCAAAGCTAATTATAGACAAATACTCAAACTTTTATGAAAAAAAAAAAAAAAACCTTCTAAAATCCTAGTAACATAATTTATGCAAGCTACCAATCAACTGAACGCTCACAACACGAAATATATTCCGTGTAAATGATGGACACAAGTCAATTGCAAAAGAATTTCAATGCAGGTATTTCCGGAATTTCTTTTCTTTTATTTATTTATTTATTTATTTTTGTGTGTGTGTGTTTATGTATATATAGACTGTTATTGTGTAACACACACGATGGCATAGTACTTAATTTAATTTTTCAAATGTTTAGAATAAAAATCGTGTTATCTCAAACTCGTTACGTAATAAAAATTGGATTAAAAATCGTTCTACATACATATAGTGTAATAAGAGGGTTTATGCATATTCATTAACATGTTTAAATGAAACTATGATGCCGTGCTATATGACGGTATCCTCAATTTTATTATTGTGTAAGAACTAGATTAATTTGAGTGAGAGCAAGATTACGTCTTATTATATAAGTAAATATAATAATGGGATAAATAAAAGATATTTCTGATCGAGGTTTGGCAACAAATTTGATTGCTAAAAAACGAAAGTTATTTTTATGTTTTATAATACTTAAAAAGCGTATCTAGTATTATTTAATGTAAAATTCTAAACATGGAGATATATGGAATTAAATGGAATATATTTCTCATCATACATTGGAACCAAATTTGATTTATCGAAAATGAAATATATTATTAATGACTCTTGATTTAATAATGAAAACATTGAACTAATAGTTATGTTTAATATTACAGAAAAAAGCACTTGTAGTATTATTTAATATAAAAATCTAAACTAAGTATACAAATCTGAGGAACTAAATAAGATATTTCTCACCGTGATTTGGCAAAAAATTTATTCATTGAAACTAAAAATTACTATGTTTCTTAGTTTAATGTTACTAAATGTTTCTTAGCTTAATAATGGAAACAATGAATTAATGCTCATGCTTTATAATACCTCTATATGACACTGTGATACTCCTTATTGTTAAATCTATAACAGAAATAAATTGCAGTAATGGGGAAACATTTTTTATCGCGGCTTAGAAACAGATTTATCCATCCAAACTGGGGACTATAATATAACTCTTAGATGTGTAAATAAACGTGAAAGGTTCCGTGAATCCTTTCCATTGACGGAACCAGATGCAGTTTGCACATGCATGCAGAGAGATAAAAGGGGCGTGGGACGGACTGTAGAAAAATGGAACAATATACTTACGACATCTATGAGCTGAGAGAGCTTCAGCCCCATCTTGACTGTCAGTCTGTCCGAATTGTTCCCGACCGGTCGTATTAAAGCATTGTAACCATTGATGAGATCGTCGTAGAGTCTTTTGGCATCGGCGTTCGAATCCCCCCTCGAGCCCCTGCTCGAGATCATCACGAGCAGCAGCATCGAAAGGAGGGCAGACGCCATGGATGAGACGCCAAAAGATGGAAGGTTTTTCTGGGGGTGGACGCGGAGGATCGATGCACACGGAAGCGACTATCAGCGGAACGACGGTGACGCCACCTCGCGGCCGCTTTGGTCGGTCCCGAAGCACACTGTGAAATATGGCTTTTCTCTCCGCCCTCCTTTTCTTCTTAACAATGAGCCTCCTCTCTCGGGTCGGCAGGCTCTTTGGAGTCGAGGCGAATGACGTCATCACTCGTGGGCTTAAAGAAGTCATTTATCATCTCAGTGTTCCTTAAATAATGTTAAGTTATTTGTAGAGATTTATGCGTAGCGAAGTGGGATGACGTCATCGCTGGTGGACTAAACAGCGAAATGTTATAGAGTAGAGCTTCCCAGTAGACGGTCGGGTGCTGAATGCTTTGGGGGGGTTCGATGAAATTTTAAATGGGGAGCAATGAGGATGAAGGTGTCGACTGGGAGTGGACAGCCAAACATGCATCGGGATCTTCATGACAAAAATCTCACTGATTAAAAAAATCATTAATAAAATTCATTTTGATTTGTTTATTGACTGTATCATGCAGTAAGGATAAAGTAATATAAAATAAATAAAAGGAGAATATACACTGAAGTTATTTAATTTATTTAAAATATCAATAATATGCTTTTTAAATATCTAGATTTTTAGGCAATAATTTGCAAAATAAAAAAGTAAAATACAAGAACACAAGTAATCACAGTTAAAAAATATGAAGACTGCAAAATTAGAATGTAAAACAAGAAACAGGCGGAATATTTCTGATAGAGATGATTAAAAAATAACTTCTGTGCGAAATATCAAAGAATTTGCGGTATATCACTGATACCTTTCGCAATCTTCTTAGCATGTGTTATACAGTTCTTAATGTGTATTACACGTGTTCTTAGACACGTTCAATTGAAGTGCAGCAAAATATACAGAAGTGTTTTAAATAACAAATATATTCATGTTTTGGCAATGCCAAATTAGAAAAGAAAAAAATAATTTTGAAATCTACCTTTTAATGCCGTCTCCCGGTTCCTATACGTATATTTGAGAATTTTTATCCTTTTTGCGAAAAAATAAAATTACACGAATTTTGATTTCCGTACAGCAAAAACTGCATATTTAATTTCAAAAGCTACAATTTTTTTATGTCATTTTCAATTTGCTTTGAATGATCTATTAATTAATTTAGAAGAATTCGTGGAAAAAAGTTTAATTGAAGTGCAGCAAAAATACAGAAGCTTTTTAAATGACAAAAGTATTTATATTTTGGCAATGTCAAATTAAAGAAAAAAAAAAAAAAAAAACATTTTGACAAATAACCAAATCTAAATTTTAACTTGATCTCCCGGTTATTGTTCTTAAATTTTGGAAAATTTTATACTCTTTATTAAAAAATAAAACTATACGAAATTTGACTCCTGTGCGACCACAATTGACCGTAATATTAAATTTCAAAATTCGCAATTTTTGATGGCATATTTTCATCTTGCCTTGAGGTGAAATAGGTCGATTAAGTTAGAATTTCGAGAAAGTAAGTTTAAATGAAGTGCGCATAAAAAACTGTGCATTATTATTTATTAGGTCGTACAAGGAAGTCTTGTAGTGACCACATCAGATTTTATTTAATTGTATTTTATTACAAAAGATTTGGAGCGTTAAAAAAAGTGCAACATTATTTCTTAAGATCTTTTACATTTTCAGATTCCTAATTTAGGATTATTATCTCTTGATTATTGATTAATATTCAGCAGTATTATTTGATTGGTTTTTATTAATTAAAGTTATCATTTAAGAACTGGTGGAGCTAAAATTCTAGCTCTAAGAAAGTAAAAAATATTTTAGAAAAAGTCAGATTTTGCATCAAAACAGGTATACTGACACAATGATATATATATATATATATATATATATATATAAATTTAATATATATCCTAAGTCGTGCTTTGAAGACACGAAAAACGGAAGTTAAGTTTTGTCAATCGGGAGAGACAGAAATATCCCTTTTATGTACCATAATAATGCATGTTCGTTCTTGCTTGCTTCCACGGCCATTGGTGGAGGCACAGACTTAACACAATTTTGAATACTTAACAAAAACACAAAATAGTTCGCCCTCCCCTCTTGTTTGATTTTCTTGTGCTTTTACCTATTTGCAAATCGCTTTGTAGATTAAAAGCCTTTTGAGCATATTGCTGAATAAATAAAACGCCGTAAGCCTAAATTGCCTTAGCTGCAACCGGGTAAAGTTTACTTTTCTCCACGCATTAAATTCCATTCGAACACTGTCTTAAGAACGTTTGGGAGTATAGTATTAAAACAAATTATGGGTATCCCTCCTTCCATTTGAGAGGGTTGTGCCGGTAAAAGCTTTTAGGGAGTTTTTCATCGATCAATCGAGAGAAAAGGAACGAAAAGTTGATTTAAGCTTTCTCCTCAAAACATTTTAACCACATGACAGTAAGAATTGCGTCCTTCATCTTTTCAGAAAACCGAATACATCCGCTAAAAGGCGCTTCTGCTCTTAATATCCAAGAACATTACAAAACGGGAAGGCTTTTCAATTTAGATATTGCCACCCGGACGATTTTACTCACCAAAAACACTTTGAAGGTACTTCAAAGGGTCCAAAGTCTGATCGGCTATATGCAAACCTACACACATGCAACAAAAAAAAAAAGGGAATTTATCTTATAAAAGTGTATAAATTAATTGAATAATTACTAATAAAACGGGTTAGCATAATATTATCAACAAAAGGTATTATTAAAACTATTTAAGAACTATATTTACTAAGGCTTCATGGTTTCTAGAAAATCATAGGAAGCTATTTACATAAAGAATTTATTTGCAACCGACACTATAAGAAAAGTAAATTACACTGTTGAAAATTTGGTTCAAGATTTTACCAAATTATTGTAGAATCGGCACTTACTGTCTAGGAATATGATGTTTGTAAACTTACTTCCGATGTCACTGTCTAGGGGCTTGAAATGACTAATTAGACTTATGAATAACTCGAATATTTAATGAAACATAAATAGTTGCTACAAACTACAAAATGATTAATGTGTAGAAAGATGAATTTTCATAGATGATATATACAGATGAAGAGAAGGAATCGTCTTTTACAAGCAAACATCTTTGAATCGCGTCATCGTCTTAATGGCGAAATCGTCTGACTTCCATCATCGAGAAAGTGAAAGATTTTTTCTCACAGCTTGTCGCGTCATCCGATTATAATGAACGATGCCATCCCACAAATGCTCGTCCATCCTGATGGAATGCGGCCTCGCATTCTCGTAGCACCACCGTCTACATCTAGGGATCTAAAAAATAAAATTAAAAAAAAAAAAAAAAAAAAAAAAAGGTTTTTAGTTACAATTGAGTGAAAAGTCGTCTTAAATGGTTTATTTCAGCCATCTTCCCTTATCATCTTAACATCCTCAGAAATAACGGCGTTAGCTCTTCTTAAATGCTCTTTCAGTGTTCGTTCATCTTGAACAGTCTATCTGAATACATGTAGTTTACAAACACGTCTTCCTTTGATGTTGTCTGGAACAATTCGTCTGGATTCATCTTCGTATTTACGTCTTCTTAAACATCATCTGAATGCGTCTTCTGAGATACCGTCTGGATACGTCTTCTGAATGCGTCTGAGATATCTTCGAGATTCGTCATTCGAATGCGTCTTCTCAAAATCATCTTCTTTACGCCGTCTTCCTTCATACATTTCATCCTTACACATAATCTTCAGTCTTCTTAAATTAGTTCAAGGTCTTTAAAATAATAGTCCATTAGTCAAATCGGGAGAAATTTGTCAACTTGGGAAAAAGTCTATAATCAAAAATCATCAAAATCGGTATTTCATTGTCAAAGCCTTTCGGGTTCCTTCCTAGATCTTCTGAATCTGCATTTCCGTTTCTTTTTTCTCACCATCTTTAATTTCTTTTGTTCCGTCTTTGCTTTCTGTATCAACGTCGTTGTCATCAGGTTTTCTGATCGACTTCTCCTTTTCAACCTTCTCCTCTTCTTTGGCGGTCTTAAGAGTTTCTCCGTCTTCCTGAAGTTTTGTTTCTCTATTATAAGGTATTTCACTGAAATTGTTCTAATGGAATTCGCATTTGATTTATCACCTTTAGCAACTAACTCTATCAGGTTCAATGTTGCGTCTTACTTTCTTCGGGAACATGCAAGGACCTGACTCGGAACAGAGAGCTTACTAAAGCTATGTTCAATAATTGTGGGAAGTAGACAGGATACACAAGAAGGGTATACAAAACCCTTTATTTTTCTCTATTTACAATACCTTCCGTACTTCGGAATACAAAAGACCCACTACTTGTGGTCTAAACGTAAAAATAAAACTAAACTCTTAAATTTGAAATAATAAACGTGGAAGATTGGCCTTATATTAACAGGAAGCCGTATGTAGTACAGAGAACTGTGAACACTACAATACGTTTAAAATTATCAAGAGGATTAAACCTCTGGCCTGGAAGGCAACCAGCAACTGAGTAAAACTTCTAAGGTAAGCGGCCTGCTTCGACTAACTGCTTCCTCTCTCTCGCTTATCAAAAAGCCACAACTTAAATACTTGGCGCTCGCCAGACAAACTTTGCATAAATACGTTAACGCTTATAATTCTGGCCGGAAGTAGAAAATAAGAAGTGATAGTAAAGATTTAAAATAAAATAAACGTTAGTAAAACTTAAGATCCTTACAACTCTTCTTCCGGAAAATGCTTCTCTTCAGAATATCCTTCTGTAGTGGCATTTCTCCTCGTTGGCTTCGAATCTGATTGTATTGTGTCTTCTTGAGTTTCTGCCACTAATTCATGGTTCACAGCATCACTTTCATTCACCTCTCTGTAAAGCACGTCATTCCGCAAACAATCATCTTCATATGGCTTAGACTTCAAAACTTCTTTTATAACTTTTATATTTTCATCAGTTTCTTGAGCTTGAACTATCCTAAATTTTATACCGTCTTGAATTACCATATATACAGGATTTCGACTAAGAGCATCCACATGTCCCATACAGG